CTATCTATCTATCTATCTATCAATTTATTTTCTTTCCATCTATTCATCAATTCATCCATCTATTTATTTTCTCTCTCTCTCTCTCTCTCTCCATCCATCCATCCATCCATCCATCCATCCATCCATCCATCCATCCATCTAATAATTTATTTTCTCTGTCCATCCATCCAACCATCTATCCATCCATCAATTTATTTTCTTCATCCATTCATCCATCCATCCATCCATCCATCCATCCATGCAATAATTTATTTTATGTCTTTCTGTCCATCCATCCATCCGTCCATCCAATTATCTATCCATCCATCCATCCATCTATTTTCGCTGTTATTCCATCCATTCATCTATGCAATAATTTATTTTATGTCTTTCTGTCCATCCATCCATCCATCCATCCAATTATCCATCCATCCATCCATCCATCCATTCATCTATTTTCGCTGTCAATCCATCCATTTATCTATGCAATAATTTATTTTATGTCTTTCTGTCCATCCATCCATCCATCCAATTATCCATCCATCCATCCATCCATCCATCCATCCATCCATCCATCCATCCATCCATCCATCCATCTATTTTCGCTGTCTATCCATCCATCCATCTATGCAAAAATTTATTTCCTGTCTTTCTGTCCATCCATCCATCCATCCATCCATCCATCTATTTTCGCTGTCTATCCATCCATCCATCCATGCAATAATTCATTTTCTGTCTTTCTGTCCATCCATCCATCCATCCATCCATCCATCCATCCAATTATCCATCCATTCATTCATCCATCCATCAATTTATTTTCTCTTTATAATTAATCCACATAATTAAATTAGGGTCAGCAAATGTAGTCTCTGGCGGTACAACAGTCTCCTGGGGGACAAACAGGTGTTCTGAGCTCGCAGTTTGACACAACAACTCCCAGAGTCCAGTCGGTAGTGTGTGTGTGTTAGAGGGACGGAGGTCACAGATGTAAATTCTGAGAATAATTTGATTATGATTTCATTAATAGAGCAACATGCCTTAATCGAGAACGCTGGAGAACTGATTGATGACCTGAGGAGCTCAGAGCAGGTGGAAGACAGTTATCATCCCTCGGTGGATTCGTCTGATTGTCTAGAATGTTCTGTCCCCTGCAGGATTTACTACACTGTATAACTGTATAACTTTAGAGGTGATTTTTTATAATCAAAGTAGCGACCATAATGAAACTATGCTGGAAATCTGACTCTTGAAACATGTCCATGTTGCTTTAATCATACAGATGATGTATTTTAAAGGAATACTACACTTTTTTGGGGGGAATTAATTCACTTTACGGCTCCTCTTAGAGTTAAACAGTTTTGCTTTATCATTTCTCGGTCTGGCGCGAGCAATTTTAGCGTAGCTTAGCATAAATCACTGAATCAGATTAGACCATTAGCATCTCCCTCAAAAAAAAATAAAAGTTATGATAATTTTCCCATTTAAAGAAAATTAAAAGTTATGGAACTATACTCTCATCCATCCATCCATCCATTCATTCATTTGTTTTCTTTTAGTCTTTGTTCCTTTATTAATCAGGGGTCAACACAGCAGAATGAACCTATCCAGCATATGTTTTATGGAAGATGCCCTTACAGCTGCAAGCCAACACTGGGAAACACCCATACACTTTTGCATTCACACACATACACTAAGGCCACAAGGTTTATTCAATTCACCTATACCTCATGTGTTTGGACTGTGGGGGAAACCGGAGCACCCGGAGGAAACCCACACCAACAGGGGGAGAACATGCTAACTCCACACAGAAACGCCAACTGGCCCGGCCTGTGCTCGAACCAGTGGCCTTCTTGTTGTGGGGCGATTGTGCTACCCACTATGCCACCATGACGCCTAACTATACTCTCATGGTGGCATAATAATAAACAAGGAATTTTACTGTCGTACCATGGCTGAAGGTGCACTAATATTACACAGCACTGTTACCTAGATACCTATCTGGTTTTCTGGCGCTGCATAATATATATTTTCAGTGAACAGACAAATGACTTGTTACTGGAATCTCGTGGCATCTTGTCGGCCTTCTTTCTGCAAAAACAATCGGCTTGATGTACATTATCCCACTTATTGACACAAAACTAAACAATTTGACATAAAACATTGACCTGCGCTCTAATAATTGACTAGCTCTTTGAATAAATGTTAAGAAAGAGGAAAAAATGCAGAAATAATTGCGGCTGGAAGGAGCCTACACTAGCCTACTAATTATTAATATTAATTTTTAAGATGGCACCAAACAGTCAAGAAAAGCAAAGTGATATCTTTGCCATGATGACATCACATAATATTTGACTAGATATTTTTCAGGATACCAGTATTCAGCTTAATGCCTAATGGGGAAAATAATGTTGACCTTAAAATGGCGTTTAAAATTTAAAAACTGCTTTTATTCTAGCCGAAATAAAACAAATAAGACTTTCTCCAGAAGAAAAAATATTATCAGACATACTGTAAAAATGTCCTTGCTCTGTTAAACATCATTTGGGAAATATTTAAAAAAGGAAAAAAAGAAAATCACAGAAAGACAAATAATTTTGACTTCAACTGCATATAAATGTATATTCATCAGTAATGATTAAGATGATTTGTCAGATTAGTCTGTGTTATTAGTTTCAGCAGTTGTCCAGTGTTAACCGATCAGAATCAAGTATTCCAGAGAGCCACCTAAGGTTTTATAAATTACTTGCAGGCAGCTCGGTGGTTCAGTGAATATTATTTAGTTTCATCACCAAGTATCATAGTAGAACAGTTTCTCCAGCAGTTTGTGGTGCATTTTAGACACAGGAGATGAAGCCCTGGTCTAATGCGCCACCTGGCTTGAGAAACTTGTTCTCAAAGACTTATTATTTGGGTAGCACACATATTCTAAATGCCTTCAGCTGAATTCAAATGAGCCATTTTAATCTAGATTAAAAAATTATTCTATGCTCACCTATAATATATATATATATATATATATATATATATATATATATAGATGCATTAGTTGCAGAATTTTAAAGCAGTTTAACCATTAAATGCTTTTTATTGAATATTACTGGTCATTCAATGCGACTTCGCAAGATTTTATGGAGAGCTTACAACCTACTAACTACGGTTTGCCTTACGAACATGTAGCGCAACCAAAGTGAGAACAAATTTAGTTACAAACTAGCTAGTAGTTACTAAGCCCCAAGTGTAGATTTACGTTCCAGATTAAGAAAGAACTTATGATCAGCTGGTGCAACCCTACCTAGATAAACTGGATGAGCTAAATTGGCCGTAGTGTATGAGTGTGTATGGCTGTTTCCCAGTACTGAGTTGTGGCTGGAAGGGCATCCGCGGCGTAAAGCATATGCTGGAATAGTTGGCCGTACATTCCGCTGTGGCCACCCCTGATAAATCAGAGATTAAACCGAAGGAAAATGAATGAATGAAATGATTTGCTTGTTTTGTAAACTTAATATTAGAAAATGTAAAAAAATAAAAATAAAAATCAATTCAAAAGTGCCATTTAAAAAAAAAAAGCCACCAAACATGACTGAATTTAACATTTACATTTACATTTAGTCATTTAGCAGACGCTTTTATCCAAAGCGACTTCCAAATGAGGACAAGGAAGCAACTTACACAACTATAAGAGCAACAATGAATAAGTGCTGTAGGCAAGTTTCAGGTCTGTAAAGTGTAAGACGCAAAAACATTAGTAAGATTTTTTTGTTTTTTTGTTTTGTTTTTGTATTACAGTTAGCGGTGGAGCCAGAGAGGGAATTGCATATTAGGAAGGAAAGTGGAGACTAAATAGTTGAGTTTTTAGTCATTTCTTGAAGACAGCGAGTGACTCTGCCGTTCTGATGCAGTTAGGGAGTTCATTCCACAAACTGGGCAGATTGAGCGCGAGAGTTCGGGAAAGAGATTTCTTCCCTCTTTGGGATGGAACCACGAGGCGACGTTCATTCACAGAACGCAAGTTTCTGGAGGGCCTATAAATCTGTAGAAGTGAGAGCAGATAAGAAGGAGCAAAGCCAGAAATCGCTTTGTAAGCAAACATCAGAGCTTTGAATTTGATGCGAGCAGCAACTGGCAGCCAGTGCAAACGGATGAGTAGCAAAGTGACATGTGCTCTTTTAGGTTCATTAAAGACCACTCGTGCTGCTGCGTTCTGAAGCAGCTGAAGAGGTTTGATAGAGTTAGCTGGGAGCCCGGCTAGTAGAGAGTTGCAATAGTCCAGTCTGGAGAGAACAAGAGCTTGAACAAAGAGTTGAGCTGCATGTTCAGATAGGAAGGGTCGAACCTTTCTGATGTTATACCAAACAAAGGAAAAATAAAATTCTAAGTATACATTTATATTCACGAACTAACTCAAGTCTATGAATTTGAACACTTCCGAATGTATTTACAAACAGACCCCATTCAGTCGTGCTCCTGAACTAGTGGGAACACTTCACGAATAATAATTCACAATTCGGACAAATGCATTTCATACTCCAGATGGAATATGCAGAATCTCCATTTGAATGACAACTGAAAGATTTTGCTCCCGTGATGCAAGACTTTTCACCATATTTCAGATAACACTGAAATAACACGTATTTAAAAAGAGACAGAGAGAGAGACCTCTTCTCCACTCATTATACTACCATCATAAAACATAATCAAATAACTTGCAATCAAACTAAAAGCAGAACTCCTAATATGAATCTAAATGTAATCATCAAAAATAGTTGAATTCCTACACAAAGAGAAAGAGCGCAAATTTTGCATGAAGAGTAAACACGACGGATTCCGGTGTCAAACGTGCTCCATTCAAGTTTTGTGAATAAAAACGCACATTAATAAAAGGCTGTGGTACATCATAACCTTCATTCTTGTTCTTAGAGACATAGGAGGCACTTCAGCTGCATATTTGAAAACAATGAGCGTGTTTGAACAGTCTGTCCTGTGTGACCTAAACGATGTATGCAATGAAAACCCACACTTACCTTAGACATTGATTCTCTCAATCATTTCTCATCTCACTCTCAAACTGCATGTTTCCATGGCAATCTTTAGCCAGGCAGTTTGTTACCTGAAAGAGAGAGCGAGAGACGGAGGGAGGAATAGAGATTGAGAGAGACAGAGAGAGAGAGAGAGACATATGTCAGGGCAGAATGCATACAAATCAGAATGTATTACAGTGTACTTACAAATTAAGTACATGACATAAAGTAGATTTCAGTAACATCCCATGACAATCCATTCATATATCATGATGTGTGTTATTAAAAATAAATACAAACAGAATCACTGAATCCAGTTATCAGCGTGGAATTTGGCAATTTTTGCATGATTAAATCAAAAGTGGGATTGCAAACCTGATCACATTGCGATATGGACTAGTGTCTGTGAATATTACATGGTAAAAAACTCTATTTAAATATGCATGTTCTGGGTGTCTGGGTGTGAATGAGTAAAGGCGTTTGTTTTCCATACATTCTCAGTCGTTTACTGAGGACATACACTCATGAAGTTCATCTCTAGAGGTGCTTTTTAAATTTTTTTTGGACTTTTTATATTCTTTATTTTAGATTTTTGATAACTTTGGCTGTCAATGCAAAAGCATATGCACTGAAAAAAATTATTCAAAGATGATCCTTTGGATTTACTAAATATTGTAAGATAAGTGTTTGTAAACAATTTATTTGGCCTGAATTTAAACAAATAAATTAAGTTGAAGATTATTAAATTTAATTAGTTTGTTTAAATTCAGATTTTCACATATAAAATTGTTTGCAACAATTTTGCAGAAATCAATTTATTCAGTGTATTTTGTCTATGAATATATATATATATATATATATATATATATATATACTGTTGAAGTCAGAATGATTAGCCCCTCTTTGATTTTTATTTTATTTTTTTAAATATTTCCCAAAAGGATGTTTAACAGAGCAAGGAAATTTTATTTTAATATATTTTTCGACTGTCTACAGAACAAACCATCGTTTTACTATAACTTGCCTAATTAACCTAGTTAAGCCTTTAAATGTCACTTTAAGCTGTATAGAAGTGTTTTGGAAAATATCTAGACAAATATTATTTTCTGTCAGAATGACAAAGATAAAATAAATCAGTTAGAAATGAGTTATTAAAACAAGCATGTTTAGAAACTTGTTGAAGAATTTTTTTTTTTTTTTTTTAAACCATACATTCCACCCTCATAAACCTATTATACACAACAGGTAAAAAAAAATTGTCCTAACTGAAATACATTAAAATATATATATATATACTAATTAAAAATAAATAAATATTTGTTAATAAAAATGGATTAATAAAGTTTTGTTCAAAAAGATTTTTAGGTTTTAACATTTTACCCTATATAAACCTATTTTACACCACAGGTAAAAAAATAAATAAATTAGTCCCAACAAAATACATTTCAATTTTAGATTTATTTTAATAGTACTATTTAAGAAATAAATACAATATTATTTATTTGAAAAATAAAAATAAATTATAAATTAAAAATAAATAAGTTAATAAAAATAAAAACATATATAAATAAGTGAATAAATAAATAAATAAGTGAATGAATAAATAAATTTGTGAATGAATAAATAAATAAATAAATAAACATTTTTTACAACAACATAAAAAATTGTATAAAGTTTTTTTTTTTTTTTTAATATAGGTTTTAACATTTCACCCTATATTCCTCCTACATAAACCTATATTACACTACAGGTAAAAAAATATATAAATTAGTCACAACAAAATACATTTAAATTTTAGATTTATTTTTAATAGTACTAATTAAAAATAAATACAATATTTTTTTATTAAAAAATGTAAAATAAATTACAAAAAAATAAGGGAACATTTAATTAAATATGTAAAAGAATAAATAAATAAATAGATAAATAAGTGAATAAATAAATAAGTGATTAAATAAATGAATGAATATTTATTTATTCATAAAAAATAATAAAGTTCATGTAAAAAATGTAACAAAAAAAAAAAAAGGTTTTAATATTTGACCCCATATTCCTCCTTCATAAACCTAACCTTTTTTACTACAGGTTAAAAAAATAAATAAATGAATCCTAACAAAATACATTTAAATTTTGGATTTGATTTTAATAGTACTAATTAAAAAATAAATTTAAAACAGTTTTAAAAATTAAAAAATGAAAACTAAATTGAAAATTATTAAGAAATAAATAAACAAAATGTATTAATAATTTAAATATATAATTTACATATAACATAAAACTAATAGTTCTGTTGTTGTTGTTCTTCATAAAAACAAATAAGAACAACAGTATCAGTATATAAACAAGTAACACATTAAAGCGGTTCATTAATTTAAAGGTGAGTTTTTTTGGAAGTTATCAGCAAAACCATTGATGCTCAAGAGTTAAGGAAATATTCCAAGCATTTTTGTCTCATTTATGTATTTCATGCACACATAATCAGTGTGAGAGATTACATTAGCTGTACAGTTATATAAATGTAATTCATTCATTTTCCATCGGCTTAGTCCCTTTATCCATCAGGGGTCTCCACAGAGAAATGAACCACCAACTTGTCCATCACGTTTTACACAGCGGATGCCCTTCCAGCCAACCTACTAACATCCATACACACTCATACACATACACTACGGCCAATTTAGTTTACCCAATTCACCAATAGCGCATGTGTTTGGACTGTGGGAGAAACCGGAGCACCCGGAGGAAACCCACGCCAACACGGGGACAACATGCAAACTCCACATAGAAACGCCAACTGACCCAGGTGGGACTCAAACCAGCGACTTTCTTGCTGTGAGGCGACAGTGCTAACCACTGAGCCACCGTGCTGCACCATGAATGTAATTGCTAAGTGATTAATTCTATAGTCTTAATGAGTCTATTAGACAAGCCTGAAGAGTTGAAATAAATATGCATTAAAGGGATATACACCCCAGGTTTCAAAATCACCAATGCAGCATAAGTTGAGTTTTAAAACGAGCAAACATGAAGCTTTTGCAGGCCTGTTTTCCAGCAGTGTGTGTGTGTGTGTGTGATAGTGATGGTCTCTGTGCATCTCCCAGCATGCATGAGCTGTTGTTTATGTGATGTATATGTGTTTCTCAGTCTACCGCTGCTTCTCTTGTTATTTTTTCTTCTTCGTCTCCCCTCCCTTTCGTTCTCACTCTTTAATAATTGAGCTGGTTCTGTCTCTTGTTAGAGTTGGCTCGTTACTGAGAGACACAGAAAGCAGCCAGGTATAGCGAACCCCTGGATACACACTCTCACACCAGCTCCATCATCATCAGCAGCATCATCCCTGCTCACAAGTTCACTCTGTCTTCTTTCAGACCCACACACACACAACCTGACATATACAATCACACACACACACACTTGTACAGCTGGCTTTATGGGGACTTTCCATAGACATGATGTTTCTACTGAAAATCGGACTGAAGTAGTTTAAATTTACTAGAACTTACTATAAATAAAGAAGAATTTAATTGAATACTGTACAAACTGCATCATTTACCACAATAAACTCCAAAACTCAACTATCACAAAAACCAATCTGCATTTTTTATATTTTTAAAATACTTAATTCTGTGTGATTTATAAGTTTTATCCTTTATTTTCCACATGGGGACCAAATAATGTCCCCACAAAGTCGAAATGTTCTGGTATTGCTATACTTGTGGGGACATCTGGTCCCCACAACGTAAGAAATACAAGGTACACACACAGACATACTGACACTTACTCATATACACACAAACCCTTGTACAGCTATATTTATGAGGACTTCTCAAAGACATAATTTTTTACTGTAAAAACTATTTATTATCTCCCGACCCCAATCCTACACCTAAACCCAACCTTCACGGGAAACAATCTGCATTTTTACATTTTAAAAACACAGAACTATGTGTAAATTATTAGTTTTATTGTGTATTTTCCTCATGGGGACCAAACAATGTCCCCACAAAGTAAAAATGTACTTGTATTGCTAAACTTGTGGGGACATTTAGTCCCCACAGTGTAAGGAATACAAGATACACACACAGACACACTCTTTCTCTCTAGCTCTCTCTCAGACACACATTTGTAAAGCTATCCCTATAAGAACTTCTCATGGACATAATGAAGTTTCTACTGTACAAACCTTATAATTTATCCCCCAGCCCCAACTCTACCCTAAACTCAACCCTCACAGAAAACAATCTCCATTTTCATATTTTAAAAGTACTTCATTATATGTGGTTTATGAGTTTTATCATTTATTTTCATGGGGACCAAAAAAATTCCCTGCAAAGTCAAAATGTACTGGTTTTTGCTATACTTGTGGGGACATTTGGTCCCCATAATGTAAGAAATACAAGATACACACACCCGCACTCACTCAATGGGGGTTTTGTCCCCACAATGTAAGAATGTAAGTCTCTCTCTCTCTCTCTCACACACACACACATACACACACACACACACACTTGCATAGCTATCCTTATGGGGACTTCTCAGATATGATGATGTTTCTACTGTACAAACTGTATCATTTATACCCGCCACCCCTAAACCCAACCCTCACAGGAAACAATATGCATTTTAAATTAAAATAAAATACTTTCTTATGTGTGATTTATGAGTTTTATCATTTTTTTCCTCATGGGGACCAAAAACTGTCCCAACAAAGTTAAAATAGACTGGTTTTGCTATACTTGTGGGGACATTAGGTCCTCACAATGTAAGAAATACAAGGAACACACACTCTCTCTCTCTCTCTCTCTCTCTCTCTCTCTCTATCACGCACACACACACACACACACACACACTAGCACAGCTATCTCTATAGGGACTTCCCATAGACATAATGATGTTTCTACTGAACAAACTGTATATTTTCGTCCCCACATTGTAAGAAATACAGGGTACACACACAGACATAGTATCTCTCTCACACACACACATAAACCATTGCACAGCTATCTTTATAGGACTTCTCATAGACACAATGAAGTTTCTACTGTACAAACCTTATATTTTATCAGCCGACCCCAACTCTACCCCTAAA